GCAGGACATGGTCCTTCAGCAGCGGGCTGCATGCCGCAGTACTTGGGCTAAGTGCTTCTTCTGACCCGGCTCCTCCTGGGCTCTTGCAAGGCACAGTATTCCACCTTGCACAACTTCACGGACATTCTCGGGTGTTCACATATCAGCCTGAACTAGACTTTTCTGCTTTTCTGCTTTACTTTCTGGTCAACCAAAAACGAGCCATCTTCACCCACAGGGAATCTGTATTCGGTACTTTTATATTTAAAAAAGAGCCTGAATCTCCAGAAGCATTTTACTAATAGTTAAGTCAGGTTCACAACATCTAATAGCACAGGCAGGTGATCCACATGCTGCTTTCAGAAGGCATTTTGGTGAGCTGAGCCTCCTGGCTGACTCCGGAGCCCGGGGGAACAGCAAAACCCCATGAACTGTGACAATCAACAAAAATCCCAGGGTTTGGGGCTGCCCTCCCAAACTGGGGGCAGAGGGTGTAAAGTTCTGACTTCCCATCTATTAATTTCATTTCACTCTCAGACAACTTGTGCTCAAACAGGGTATCTGCCAATTTGGGAAACCTGCACAAAGAGTTCCTGATCTGAGTGAGTTCTGTCTGGGAATTACCTCCCAGGTAAGTGTCAGCTATGGCAGCCTGTCATGGGAAGAGAGGATTCCCTCGTGCCCCAGATAAAGATTCCTTTTGCGACGACAATGGAAGGTTTTGCACGAGTGACAAACGAGATCAAAGACAGGCACAGCTGCAGAGGGAGAGGAACTTACAGTGTTCATGGCACCTAGCAAGAAGCTCCAGGTCATCTGCGTGGTAGTAATCATACCCTGACGTTCCCAGAACCTCAAAGGGTAAATATCCTATAATAGGCGGAGCCCTAGAAGGGAAGCAAAGGGCAGGGAGTGAGCACAAAACCTGACACTTTGACATCCTGGCAGATACGCTGCGATACTAGCGACCAAAACCATCCCGTACGTTCACTTGGCAGGGAAATCAGGAGTGGATTTTCATATACACAACGATGAATTTTCATATACAAGCAAAAAAAAAAAAACAGCGAGGGAGACGTAAAAATTGAGAAAATGAAAAGGTGTGTGTTTACTGTTTCATAGCCTATTCATTATGTGGGTGTAGAGAAAGGCATGTACGTATGCAAGTGACTCAATTCATTAAGCACACTTGAGACACGCAGCTTGAGAAACGCTATGGCTGTTCGTGTGCATAATAACTTGGAGCTCGAGTAAAATTATCCAGTAGGTTGGATGTAAATGTCATCTGGGTAGTAACTGTAGAAGAAAGAGTAAGTGGGAAGCTGCAATGTGTGTCAGGGCCAGCTTGGGTAAAAGAAAAAGTAATTGTTCCCATGGAAAAGCTTAGGAAATTATAACCAGCAAAAAATGTTTCTATGCTGGTAGTAAAGATAAGAATAGGCATGGGGCTGATTTTAGGGACTGTTATTTCTCTGGCAGGTAGAGAAGGAATGAAGGAAGTATTTAGATGGGCACATTGCAATGACTTACCTGACTATTCTGCTGTCAATTCTAGATTTCCATTTTCTAGGCAAAATACGAGATTTTTTTAAAGCAGGTGTCCTAACAACACTGAGCTTATGCTTCACCGGAGCCTGCTAGCTTATGATTATGAAACAACACTGAAATGTGAGGAGAAACCCACTATTTTTGCCTCTGCTCCCTACATCCGCATGCCACCTTCTGTCCCCTACCGCTCAAGTACACTCCTGCTTGCACCAATTCAAGCACCGCACTTACTTGGTGAGGAAGGACTTGTGCTCATTTGGCTCCACCTATTTGTTTTGGCTGCTGGATGTGCTGATAGCATGAGGCTCACCTGCCAAGTTCAGCACGTTCCTCAGGAATAAGGCGGCGGTGTGTTAGCGAAACGGTTAATGATTCAAAACCGGGGCAGTCTGAAGGCGTCACCGCCTATCAAGCGTGCCTCTCCTGCTGCCCTTCTCTTGCTGTGTCGAGTGACCCTCTTAAGCAAGGTGAATGCCATAAAGCGGCCAAGAATATGAGCAAAAAATTATTTCAGTGTAAGTACATTTGGGTTCGGATGGATCGATCCTGAGTTTTCTGGATATTAATGTGGGAAGTTCTCCCGTCCTGGCTGAGCCACCCAGCTCCACATTTGTACTCCTGAGAGACATGGTGGGCATAGATCATTCAAGTAAAGAGAGCCCAGACAGGTCTATAACCTCCCTCTTCCCCACAGCTGCGGGCAGTCTGGCACCAAATGGGAAACAGGGGAAAAGGAAGCACAGCCGGGGATCGGCTCAACGGCAGCCCCGGGAGATCAAGGTCTCAGCAGGAGCTCCCGAGTCCCAGCACAAGGGGTTGGCTGGCAGGGCCAGTCCTCCACACTCTCTGATGGCCAATCTCTTGAAACGCAGTGGTCTCCCCCACAATACAGCTTTATGTATTCAAATAGCTTTTCATAGAGCACCGTGTTCCTTTTCCTCATGTGACCCAGATTTCTGTTAATGATGATAATATGTGTATTTATTAAAGAGTCCTTCCTCGCTGTCTCTTTGGCAGAACGCGCCAGTGTCTCTCCTATCTTTAACGACATGCTTATATTCAAGACAATAATGCCTTTCAGATGCACATCAGATAAACATTTAAGCTGATCAGGAAAGTATTACGCTTTCCCGACTTTCGCCAGAATTCTTTAAATGAGAAAGCAACCACAAAATGCTCCTCATCTGTTATTTGACAAGGAGCTGCCTTGCTTGTGGAACAATTTAAAAGTGTCTTGTTAGCTTAAGTTCCAGCCTCGAGGCCTGCAACTTGCTGTGCCAATAGACATGCACAGTCTTCAGAGAGCCTTTCCAGTGCAGCCTTTTAATAAATGAAGGGAAAATAAGGAGAGGACCACAGTGCAGAAGAGAAACAGATCATTATCAAAGTTGATAGGTTTTCTTCCTCTACACATATTTACATGTAGACCCAGAATACAGATTTTTTCCTAGTTTTCTAATGTTTACCCAGATCTATGGAGTGCTTTCTGCATTATCTGCCTTTACTCCAATTTATGTTGTCGTCATGACAGCAAAGGTCCTGATTCCAACTCGTGCTGGGTACCCTCTGCCCCTACCGACAGCACACAGCGTCTGGTGGCATGAGTTGACGCAAATAAGCAAGAAACAGCAAAATACCCAATAACATTTCACAGCGTCCCGCGGACTGTACCAGAGAGAGGTTTGAATCGGTGATTAAATGAGACAACCCACACGATCCTCAACTCATTCTTGGGTCTGGGCTCGCCGCTCACATCCAGGGCTGTCACAAACTCCGCCTCAGCATCTGCATCGGCTTAATTTACACTCAGTAACAATGGTTTCCTCACTGGGGATATCAGTGGGACCGGAGTGGCTGCAAGCAGCCGGCGCGGAGAGATTCCACTCTGAGTCATAACCCAGATTCATCAAAAGACTCTTTCACAGGTTTCAGAGCAGCTCCTGCTCGCCTTATTCACAGGAGCTGCTGGGACACGGCCCTTTGGAAAACCAGCTCTCTTCGTCAGACAGTGAAATAAGGGGCTTAGGGCTCTTTTACGAATCTTAACATTAATCACCTGATTCTGAAAATGTGCATTATTGGACAGGCCAATTAAAGGCTGACAAAGTCACTCCAGCGAGATCTCGACAACATGAAAAATAAGCCGACTGTCCCAAACCACACAGCATTAACCACAGGGCTGTCGCAGGGTCAGTTCCTCCACGCTCCAGGGGATGATGCGTGAGGTACACATCTTGTATACTATATAAATACAAGTTATTATTAATTTATATTTGCTCTCTTTCTTGCTCTAAATGTGCAGATGATATTTAGGGTTTTTTCCTCCTTTTCCCTACATCCTTATTTACTAGTCTTCTATTTCTAGTAATGACTACCTTTGCACAGCTTGCAAAGGGAGGGATAATGGAAAGGGTAGGATTTTGCAATGTGCTTATGCACACATGTCAAATACAGAGAAGTAAAAGAGTGAACAAAAACCTCCAGCTTCTTTTGAAGAAAATGAATCCTACATTAATCAGCTTAATAAAGTGGTTCCAGTCTGTTTCATTCACCAAGCTGAATCCTAACCCACCGTGTGGCATTGTCAAAAACAAATCTGCGATTAAATAATCTAATCCACAGCTTTTTCTTTTATTTTTATAATTTTCATCATTTCTCAAGGTGACAATCAAAAGTTTATTGATATCGCAAAAGATTTAGAAGGACTCCTGGAAACTGTAGCTGGAAAACAGAGGAGCTAAACCAATACAGGGAACAGGACCCACACTGCTCAGTTTCAATGACCTAGTATCTTGGTGAAGTTAGACGTTTTTCTAGACATTTTCCCACCATTTTATATGGTTTCTTACCTACCTAAAATATGGAAAAGAGCAAAGCATTTAAGGATGCCTAATAAGTAAGTTCAGAGTATTATCACTTACCCAGTTGCATTAATGAGAGTTATTCTACTTGGGATCTCAGGCAATAGCTACACAAAGTTTTCTATTTTTAAACTACAGTTTGTTTATTCTTCAGTGACTAAAACCAAATCTCTTACCTGTGGTCCAAGAATAAAAACTTCCATTCCAAACTATGCCTCGATGTAAATTCTTCACACGGCTCTTCAACATTGCAGAGCTCCTGCAAAACAGTTGGCACATTCAGACATTTAATTCTATGAAATGACAAAAAGAGCCCTCTATCAAGACAAAGGATGCACCTTCTTGGTATAACAAACCCTAGCAAAATACAGTGCTTTTAAAGCACTTGACTTATTTTCCTCTAAGGAATGTATAAGTCTTGTTTTATAGATGCATGAACTGATGAAAAGTGGCTGAATAATTTACCCTGGGCTGAACTTCAGGGATAAATAGTCCAAGGGCCTCATCTTACAATCTGTAGGCAAATTCCCCAGCTTTTTGTAAATATTGGTATCTGAAGATGGATGACAGCACCAGCTTCAGCCTCAAACCGAGCTGGCTAATGCTCTCTTGAGCAAGAAGCACCTACGGTCGTTATCCCTGTCATCGCTGCAAGACACTTACAGACCAGCAGAAAGAGTCCATGAAACATGGTGTTCACGGTGTTTCAAGATGCGTGGGATGTATTTCTTTAAAGGCTGCAACTTTTCAAATGTTTTAGCTGGTCCCCTTGTGTTGGTGCTCTGAGACACCCATCACACGACCGCCTCCTCCCAAAAGCAACTCCCGCTTTATATCTCGTCATTCCAAAATACACACTTATTTCGTCTCCCACTCACAAACACAGTGGTGTCCTCTCTCTTTTACCAACCCCATGCACAAACAATCTGTGATGCTGAACATACTCTTTGGGAGGCTGCTGCAGCCCAGCTCCCCCCACACAGCCGAGCACACAGCTCCTGGTACCGGCAGCAGCTCTGCCGCTGAGCACCGGCACGAAAGGGAAGATGCAGTCGCAGAGCTCTCACCTTTAAGAACTGAGGTGTGACAAGACGAACAGTTGCTACGAGGCAAATCTGCTCCTCCGTGGCTGACCTGAAAGCTCGTGCAATAGCTGACTCAAAGCCATTACAGGAGGGTGTAGGCACTAGACACAACCAGACAATTTATTTAAGAAGAAGAGGAAGGAGGGCTTTCTTTTCATGTTAAGACACGTACAATGACTGATGAAACCCAAGCAAACTCCTCCTACCCACGAGGCGATGCCACACTGATACACACCGATGTTATTTAAAGCATGACCCTTTAGGCTCCAAGTTACACAGTTGTAACCACCTGCCCCTGGCTTGCAGGGAAGCTGCATAAGACAGCTCTGAGCAGCTCGCAGTGTGCAGCTACAGTCTCCTTGTCAGCCTTTCTCCAGCTCAACATTTGCAAGATTCAAGTTTTTATAGGTTTCTCAAACTATTTAATCTTTAAAAAGTGTCATTTGATTGCCACAAGTGAAACAGAATAGCATATTTTACTGGTTATTTGAATAAGTAGGCTGCTTTACGATTGGCAGTGGGTCAAATGGAGGTAGGATCAGTCTGGTATCACTTCTTTAAGCACAGCACGCAGAAGAGAGCACTCTTCTGACCAACAGCCTGCCCACCACTTTTGTATGAAAAATATCTCCAACATATCCACAGCTCATTCCACCCCTGCCGATTACAGGGCATTTTCAGCTGAAACAAGGCCTTTAGGAGGCTACAGATCAACACACAATTTAAAAAAGAGAGGTAGAGAGGTAAAGGTAGGCTGGAGCAGTAACTTACCATGAGTAAAATATTTAAAATCCACTACAAATTTCACATATTCATACATCAGGGGTTCATTTGGATCTAAGCTGCCTCTTGCTAAATGGCAGCAAAACTCTATTTGTTTTTCCGCTGAAATGAGAGAAAGAGAGGGAGACGTACACAGTGTTACTAGAAGTCTGCACTTTAGCACACTCCATGTATCGAATCTATCCAGGTGTTTGTACCAACCCTGCTGCTGTGGTACCTGAGCACGCCTTGCTGGGATGCTCTTGATACCCGTAAGTAAATATATAACTACCAGGAGCAATGATCGGCTGGTTCTGCTCAAGAAAATGTATTCTCCCCCTTTCTCCCATGGCTTTATAGCCACCCTGCTATGCTGGGCGTGAAGCCCTGGCAATATGGGTCAGCGGTATTTTCCCCTGACTTTGTGGATGCATGATTTCATGCAAAGCGTTAAGTGATATTGCAGTACTCTGCTCCAGCACTGCTCAGTAGGACCCAGATCCAAAGGGCACTGAACTCACCCTAACCCTTTCCATTAACGGTGGAAGGCACCATGCCAAGCTCTTATTCAGTTTTCTGCCCGAGGTCTGAACTCCATGGATTAGGCCATGTGGTCTTCAGCCAGAGGACACCAACCCCAGGGCAGGGCACCAGCACAAGGGCTGCCCAGCTTCCACTGGTGCTTTCGGGGCAGCAGAGAGGGGAGGCTAGCACTGCCCGGCCACGGCAAACCCACCGGGAAAGGGGGCTCCCAACACAGGCTTGGTGAAACGTGGCTGTTAGGAAGACGCTGCTGCCCGCTCTGGTGCTGGGGACGTATTCTGGGGGCGGGACAGAAGCCAGCAGAAGAGATCTGGATGGACTGTTCAGGTAGGAAGGCTGTTGCTTAAATTACATGCAGGGTTTCTCAGGTGTCCTGAGACATGCAAGTTTCCTAAGGAACAAAGACTCTGCCAAAACTCTTTAGGATTTCTCCTACCCTTTTCCTTCCCCCAAGCCCCTCACTCCTTTCACAGGCTTAGTCCAGCATGGAAAAATATCTAATGAGGGCAACTTCACTCTCCTATGATACAAAGCAGACAGTAAAACAAAGACTATCCAAACCAAAGACCAGGTAGTAGCATGTAGGAACATCAGATGATGTGCTGCATTAAAAACCAGAAATACCAACTGTGGCAAAACAGAAGTGGCAGGCAGGAGAATTAAATAGCTGGAGAGCCCTGTGCAGGCTCCCCTGGGAGCTGTTTGCCTTTGGCAAATTTCCCCGACCGACAGACAAGAGCAGAGCTTACCGTTTAGGAAATCAGCTGCAACAGGATCTGTCATGAGCAGATGTGGAGAAAGGAGCTTGTACACCTCGCTCTGCTCCCGCTCAGGCAGAAAGTTTAATATATTTTGGTCCACCAAATCTGACTGATACAAAAGAATGCTTTGTCATGTTCAGAAGTACAGCCTGACACAACCACACGCCTTTTCATCCCGCAGCAGAGCACAGACGCTGCCGGTCTAGCGCGGATGCTTAAGACAAGGAAGCCCAGTCAATCTGCAGGTGGATCTAGGGCAGAAACCCTTAGGTTATTTTACCCCTGGATTGCTATCTATTTCCAAAAGGTTGAACGGGTCCCAGAGGTTGCCCTTCAGTTCAGCCAGATGCAAGCTGGAGAAGAATCCCTGGTACCACAGGAATACAACACGATGAGAAATATCATATCAAAATGAAAATTTTAAACATTTTCCTTTGGAAGCACAAGACAGAAGTGGCAGAGTTCCTCCTCACATCCTCCATTTGTCGAGTCTTCTAGGCTGAACATCTGGCAAAATCAGCTCGACCTGTAAGTGTTTCAGTGCTGATAAACCCACACATCCTGACTAAAGGGGTTCTACCAAAATGTCAGCATGTATTTGTTTCTTTGCACACCAGGACAGTCAGCCAGGTTAACTGTGTGCTCAAATTTGCCCTCACATAGCGTCACTGGTGTCTCATGCTTGGCACCAGATAAAAATAAAAAATGTTTTTGAGGGGCCAGCAGAAACTTCTGTACCCAACAGCTAACTGATGTCTAGAAATTCTCCCAGAAAACTCTGAGGCCACATATTTGTTACTAAAGACCATGGGCTCAAAGTAGAAAAAACCAATGATATTACAAGAGCATACATTCAGTCCTGAAATCATCTTTAAATTATTTGAGAAGATCTTTAGCATGCACAGATTTCACAAGCATGAGATTTTCCATATACCTGGTGGGATAAACACCACTCAGACCCTCCCTCAGACGTGCTGCCAAGCAGTGAGCTACGAGTACAGTGATTTTGCACAGGTTTTTTTTTTTTTAGCTAACTCGCAGACCCCGAGAATCTGTTATTCACAGGAGCTTGAGAAACTCCCTGAGAGTTTGTTGGTTTATCCCTCTTACCCACAGTCAATTGCCTCTTTGGTTGGACAAAACCAAGTCCCAGCCCTGCAGTGAAGGGGCTGCGTTAAGGCAGGGGAATGATTTTTCAACATATTGCCTTGTCAGAACTTACCGGTAAGTGTCCAAGCAGAGATGAGACACTATCAGATACATAAATAATAATCCCATCAGTGGTAAGAGCAATGAGAAAGCCATCTAGTGCCTAATGATAAAAGGCAGGCAAAAAGAAAAAAACAAGAAGAATTATGCAAGGGAACAACTTAAGATACAATAGGCTAATTTATTCTTTGGTGATGTTTCTAACAGCCTAAAACTAACATAAATCAATTATGGAAATGATAGTTCAATACGGAAAAATAAAAATTACACATGCTGTCTAATTCAACATTCTTCTTATATGCTTATTTGCTCATTAATATTAAATTGACTTGTATTTTTCACCCAGTGAGTATTTATTTAACATGAAGCAAGACAGTGGTGGTTAAAATTTCTACACCCACACAATCCTGGTGACTTCAGTCACTTCATTATGTGTTCTGAATTACACAATAGTTAACCAATCTGGTGCGTAAGGAGATGTTAGATATCATCAAGGCAAACCCAGCATTGTGGATAGATGGATGGACGGATGGATGGACAGATGGATGGATAAGCAGAGACAGAAAAATTATACAATGCTGTATTTTTAGCAATTTATGGACAATATGGACAAGATCTAAAGCCTTATTTATTTTGCTTAAAGCACTTATTTGTTAGGCTAGTGACAGAACAATTTTAAAGTTTGGTTTTCTTCCCCTTTCTTATTCACAAAGGTTTCTGTCCTGGAGTTAAAGTTCTCTGTCCCTTTTAAGTCACTGCATGTGCTTTCCTCTTTGGGTATTCTCCCTATTCTTCACAACATCTTCTCGTATCATTGACCCAGTGTCTGTCCCTATTCTCTTCTAACACTTACCAAGGTCTGGGAGGTTTAACCTCTGGTCAGCACCCTGCACAAAGCCAACTCTTCTAAAGACACTGTTAGGCTGCTCCGCAGCTTAGCTACAGGGAGCCAAAGATGCAGCATTCACCATCTTCCCCCACAGCCAGTTATTCCCCACTTCATACTCTGCCTTTGCTGAAAATAAGCCCTCTCTGGAAAAAACCGCTGGTTTTAAGTACACAGGTCAACGGTCTAACATAGTCCAGCAAGCCAACGGTTATTAAAGGGCTTTCTCTCCCCTGCCACTTCTAAGGGGGGAATTTGTTTTGATTCAGCTGGAACAAACTAGCTTGTTTGGTGAGAGAAATTCCCAGAATGAATGAACAGACTTTTCCAGGGAGGTGAGTCATGACGTCCTGACGAAAAGGAATAACTAAGACACTGCAGCACCTCCCAGCTCAGCCCAGCATACACCCTTGTTTTGGTGGGGCAAAGAGCAACAGCTGCCGACGCAGGGTAGGAGATAGCCTCGCCAGAGGAGCGTGCAGCACAGAGCCAAAGCAGCATCCTTAAGGAAAAAACGTAGGCTCATGGGGTGTTTCTAGAATCAGCTAGGCAGTCCGTAGGTGAGAGCTTCAGAGCTGTTCTCCCAAATGCACTTAAAGGCAATCCAAGCAAAAGATAGAGCTCACATCACAAGTACAGCACCGCACAGCTAGCAGCAGCAAAGGCAGCAAAGTAAATGCTGCCTGGCTAATGGGACGTGGGAGGAAGAGAGCTCCTCTGGTTTTTTCAGGTCCTTCCAAGTTTTCGCTAAAACTGCTAGCTCTAGCGGCTCTTCTGAGAAGGGAAATTCTTTTTTTCCTCTCTCACCAGGCCAAATCTGGGCCAAATTGGTCTTCATTCCTAAATGAAAAGCTGTTTATCTTTAAGGGGAAGAAATCATATTTTTAATTCTGTGTCTGCAAAGCATTTAGCACAACATTGGTCTCTGTCAGGTTTGGATTATATGTGCCAGCAGAGTAGAAATAATTAACGTTGGGACCTACAGGTGAAAAGGAACTATATCTCTGAACTACTCCACTGAACTGATTACTTCTCACTAATCTATGCAGCTTTAATTTCTTTTTACCTCTAACATCAACTGGGTGAACTCCTCGTTGCTAAGAAATGAAGGCTTCCAGTCTTGTCTAATCTCACAGGCTTCTGTCTGTGCTGTGATTTCTTAAAGAGAAAACATCAAAAAAGCAACATGACTCATGCTAGTTGGAATTTTTTTTCATTTTCAAGTAACACTAGGTTTCTTTTAAGAGGCTTTCAGAGGAATCATCCTCAGATCATTCTCCACACAAAGCCTTCTTGTATGCAACAGCCATATTCCACGCCATCACGATACAAATGCATTAGAAATCAAGAAAAGGAAGAGGAGACATTTTGGGTGGTCTGAAGAAATCCTTCAAATATTAAGGTCAATGGGCTAATTTCAGAGTAGCTGAGCATCACCGTAAGCAGAGGGTGTCCGTGACTCTGGAGATGTTTCAGGAAGGCTCACGGGAGTGCCCAGGCAGCAGGACAGGCTGCACCCAGCCATGTCCTACCCCAGGAGACCTGGGAACAGGGCACAGAAACCCCTTTCCCCTGGCTTTTGTAGTGCGTGCTGTTCCTCAGCTCCTCCTCCCTCGTGCTCTGTTTGAGAGTGTACAAAGCTTGCCGGGGGGTGCGGAGGCCAGCGAGGGAAATGGAGCGATGTCACTACATTAAAAAGCACACAGCACTGCATCTTTTCAAGTATATCTATGTTAAACTGGTCAGCACTGTATTCAAACCTAGCCCATTTCCTGAGGCCAACTGCTATGCCTTATTCTGCCCCTCACTTAGGTTCATGTCCTCTCTGGAGGCCTTAGATGCTTGGAAAAAAGAGTTTTCTGTTCAAGCTTCTGGAAAGTGGCTGCTGGGCAGATACAGAGCCAGTGCCTTCAACGGGAGCAGGCCCGTGCCCTCCGGTACCTTTCTGTTTCTGTAAGAAGTCGATGGTCCTCTGCAGTATTGTGGACTTGTCCATCTTGAGAGGGTGGCCGTGGCCCTGCAGCATCGTGCAAAGCTCTTTAATGAGGACATTGAATTGGTCTCTCCTCTTCTTTTCAGATTTGTTGCGTGATGCCCTGGGTGACAGAAACATAAATGCTGCTAAGTAAAATAAAGGACCTACAGCTCGACCCAGGGAGAGGTAAATGGCTCTGCCTCAGCAAAACACTTTAAATACAAGAATCTAAACTCTGCTGGGACTGCTCATTTGTTTAAAATTCGGCTCAGGCGCAAGCGCCTTGCTGGTGCTTAGAGCCTTCCAGCAGGACTGAGCTCACCGTCAGCAAGGAATGCCTGGAGGTAACAAATATGATTTACATTCATTTAAGGGAGACTGTATCCGTACATACATTTCAGCGGCAGTTCCCATTGTTTCAAGAGTGGTGATAACAAGGTGAAGGTGTTATGGGCAAAATTTCTCCAGTAAGAGAAGTCCTGGCATCTACATGCTCACGTTTTGCCCACCTTATTTTCATGAACTTTTGTTTTGCAGTTAGCACACACACATATAAAGGTCAAAAGGCAAAGGATTCCTTATTCCCTGATTTGTACTTGCAAAAGTAGCTTATAGACAATGCTGTGCAGAGACATCTCAACTGCAGAGTGAAGTCAAGCACATGCTCTTGTATCTGGTTTTGAAAATCTGCTACCATGATACATGAAACTGGGAATGTTAAGAGTCTGGCTGCGGAAACCACAGACAAGTTTCCAGCTTGCATTAATACAATTTAAGAATGTTTTATTAGGGTTTTCCCCTCCATTAAAAACAATAAAAGAGAAAGCAAATCCATTCAGTTTCTTCCAAAATGTTCTTTCCAATGCTCATATCTGAGATAATCCTATTTTCATACAACCTCTTCCAGTAGTAATTAATTTTCTTTACAAGTGTATTCATGATGATACATGCTTCCTGTGATCTAGACCGAGTGTGGTATGCAGAAAGCATTTCCATTCATATTCAGGTTGGCATTTGGAGGTTCTCAGATCCAGCATTTACGTTCACAGCCATCTCTGTTTTGGCACTCGTGTACGATGACGACAATTAGAACTGAGCCAAATGCTTCTCTGAAGGGAGACTAACTCATACCTGTGCTAAAGCAGGACTGCTCTCTAAGTTTCACGGGGAACTCTACCCCAGGTGGGCAGCACTGCATGGTGTCAGTAAAATCACAGGTCAGGAGTCCTGCATCAAGATAATAAATAGCCATGGGATAACACAAGATCCGAGGGCACAACAACGTAATTTAAGGACCGCTCAGCTGATTAACCCGTTGTAGGGGTGGTCAAACACACTATGAGAAGCTTGAAAATGGTGACTTAATTATGCTATTTGCGGTCCGCTATACACAGCCTGTAAACTGCATGGGGGTTTTGCCTCTGACATCAGCGGTCCCAAGTACTTTTTCAAGCATCGGTCAACACGGCATTTACAATTCTCCCCCAAGACAGCTTCCATTCTCAGTGCTCTGTGCATCCCTTCATACCTCTTTGCCCTGTCCTTCTCATCTTCATCCATCAGTTCGTTTACACAACACAGGGCTCTGGAAGGAAAAGACAGAAGTACTTACTGAGACATATTCCTTGATCTTGTTGAGGATGTCAGAATATGGAGCTTACTGGTTTGTACTTTATGACCTCCTGGATGTTTTAATATTAACTTTCCCAAACTCCACTCTTGTTATGTAGTTTCTTGCTTGTTCTGTCAGCTACTGAGGCTTGAGAAATGAAACTGTTGCTACAGCTACATACAGCTACATACAAGCTACATATAAGCTACATACAAGCTACATATAAGCTACAATAAGTGTGACTTTCGAGGCAAAAAGCTAAGAGCCAGCAGCCCCTCAGCCTGCCTTTGTACTCCCTCTGCCACAGGATGGGGAACCCTGCCAAAGCACTGAGCTCTGCACAGGAATCGGCATCTCCTCTGCAAATGTGAGAGCCGATTTGACTCTGATGTCTGTACCAGCAGCACTGCGCCTGGTCCCGTTTTGGGAAATCAAACAGGCTGCTGGTTGATTTCAAGCATTGCAATGCTTGAAAAGCATCTGAGATTTCTTTCCCAGTGGAAGGGCATAGGACGAAGAAGGAAACTGTGCTAATCCCCCAAAGGATTAGTATTAGGCAACAGCAAGGTACTATCAGGACATCTAAGAGATGGTATGATAGACAGGTTCATCCAAAGCACCCTGCAGCTAATGACTGCTGCTTGCGCTGGTGGACTTCCACCCTGTCATCTGAGCTGCGTCCTACCACTGGGATTCGTACCCGAGACTTCAAGTTAAAACTTCCTCACCTGGCACTAACCAGTGGAAAGAAGGGAATGTGACCTGGGTTCCCTGGGTTCTATATGTCCCTGCACCGGAACAGTCATTGTGGGCTGCTGTCTTTACTGATCCTAACTGTTCCTGCAGCACAGGTAAGGAGAACAGTTGGTAACAACAACCCAGGACACGGTACACTCAAGCCCTGTGAAATGATGGAAAATTCAGCACGAGGGTAACTTCTTCACTGGCGACTTGCTTTCTGTGACTCAGATGGGCTAAGTCCGAGGGACGGGGAGCCAGGCAGATGCAGGCAAGCCAGCTGCCACCACTCCACACCGCGTCGCCCGGGTCAGCTCTGCTGGGTCGCACCCCCCTCAGACACCTCCAAAGAGGAGATCGCACCCGTCCCCAGCATCAGCACCAATCTGCCTTCATCTCTAGTGAGCACTTTCACTGGCAAAGCCCTCCCACCCTGCCCAGCACCCAAGGGGCATTTTTCAACAGGTACATCCGAATGTTTTTCCCTGCTTTGAGACTACTCCAAGCTCAAACAACTTGGTGGCTATACAAGTAACACAAAATAAACCCGCCCACAACTGATAGGAAGTCAAAGATGCTGCTCACAGTAAAAGCTACAAAAATTTACCCTCCCTTTCCTGCTCCAGGGCAAGGATCTCCCTCCGTGCAGATGACCTGGGCAGAAGAAACTGGATGATTTCTTTTGTCCCGAAATAGGAATGCACTCCATGGGGAGGAAGCGGTTCTCCCTGCCTGAAAGTTACGAGCTAAATTAGAAATTACCTGTTCTATTCCTCAGATTCATCAGTCCAGACTGATGGAGTGGGATTAGCACTTCTTATCACCATGTAAATAGAGATGGAGAAAAATTAATCCTGGAAGGAAAAGCAAATCCAGTTAAAACACAGTTGCAGGCAAGACGTAGCCTAGAGAGTAACAATCACGTCAAAGCTGAAAAAGTCTACCACCGTAAATTAGAAACATGCTCAAGTACAACTGGTGAAAGCTCAGCAAAGCCTCCAGGAACGGGAGCTGGACCATGTTCTGGGGCTCCTGGCTCTGTGTGCACCACCCGCTGCTGCAGAAGAAGCCTGGGAAAGCCAACTTGACCTCTCGTGTCCAAAAAGCTGTGTGGCCCAGCAGGGTGGAGGAACGGCCACTGAGGATCAATCAGAGTCCTTCTGAAGTATGACTGTTAACCTGGCATGCGCGCTATGAAAACCAGCGAGTATGATCCAAACTTTATCTATCCAATCTTGCAACCAAAAACCTCTTTCGAGATGAAAACGATCACCTAAAGTCAGTGCAAGCCAAAACACCCACCTGTGGATGGATTTAAGGCCTCCCACTAAGATCTGCTGACGGGACACATACATCTCCTTTTTGTTTGCGAGTTAAACGGTTACAACGAACACCCTGAACCCTTGACTTTACCCACACCACAGTGCCCATCTCTCTGAAACCGTCGCTGTTGAAATTTGTTTGGCTTCAGATGAGCCTCATTCTCAGGAAGGATACGGATGCAACCAGACTGTCCACGACTGACAGTTATATCTTCAACAACATCCAAATGCTGGGCTTCCAAATTTAACAAACTTTTAATGCCCTTGAAGTGACCTCCCTGCTTTGAGCCCAGGGTCACGGCTGTTTCTTCCGTTACCATTAGTTCCAGCATCAGCTCAAGACACTGCAAAAAACCTCGCAGGGATTACATATTTGTAACCACGGTGAACAAGTGAAAACACCCCCACATTTTTGATCATCTAAAGGACTAGCAAGAGCTTGTTTCATTTCTCCAACTAGCGAAAACACCTCGAACAGAAGGAAACACAAGAAGGTGGCTGAAGAACCACTGCAAGAGACACACGTCAGGCACGACGCTGGGAAGGGCAGCTGGGACGGGGTAGGGGTTGACAATGCGGGGCCGCGGCTAAACACCGCGAGCAACACAGATCCTGACCAGCGATACGGTGAGAGTGCTTTGAGGGGAGGTTTGTGTGAATAACGTTGAGACAACAGGCCAAATTCCTGCTCATTGCAGCGAAATGAAATTATGTCAGTCCATTTGCTCAAAAAAATTGGCTCAGATAAAGTGTGATAGGGTGGTTGTAAATGTAATATGGAAACTAACCTGCAAGAGGCTTGAACCTCCTGACACATCAGAAGTACAGGAGTAACTTATAAAATACCTGATGTGTTTCAGCGGTAAGTGATTCAGTAAAAAAATGCTGATGTGATCATTTTCAGTTTGGAAGATGAACTTCCAGGGAAAATCTCACGCAACTCCCAATATCACCAGTGAAGCTGCAGCTGAAAACACCACCTACGTAACGAGTTTAAACACAGTGGATCTGCTACGCTTCTGTTCTCACAGTCATCGTACGCTGGTCAAGTTACAAGCTTTTATCCTAGTTCAAAAGGAGCGTGAGATCTTATTTGTTACCCTATTAAGCTATCATGGATCTGAAGTGCTTATCTTAGTCACTGCTGCTCATCGGTCAGTGCTGTTTTATCAAAATCATACAGTTGTTCTCCTCTAGAAGAATGACCCATACAGAAGCTTTGCTAACTCGTAATAATTTTGGAGATACACAGGTATAAAGAAAATTCTTTTTAAAGCAATGGGTTAAATTATAAAAAAATGCTTGTGAATACGCAAACAGATCTATCACAACTTTTCAGGAAACATTTTTTCTATACAGGTTAAGTATGCAAAAATTCAGCCAAACAAAAGGATTCTTCCCAAGCTTTGAACGCAAAGCTTTATGCAGAAACCTTCACATTGCCTTGACCGCAGCTTGTCTAACAACTGAAAACTCCCGGGAAGCCTGACAGGATTTCTGCCTTGTACACGTGGTTGCTCTCCCAGCCAGCTTGAATAGCAGCAAGTTGAGGGAAGCCGCTTGGTCACCGAGAAAGACAGCAGTCCAGTTAATGCTCACCGAGTCTAAACTGGGAAACGAAGCCCAGATTCTCCAGTCTCTAGCCGCAGCTATCACATCCCGCTGCCGTACGGCTGATGTGAGCTGCAAGGGGCAGAGGAATGAGGCTTCCCGGGTCAGTCCCAGTGGGACACCCCCAATGAACGTGAGAGACGTCCTCAGTCAACACCAGAGGCTCTAACAGAATAAATGGCCATAAAAGAATTCACAGGCCTAAACACAGAGAGAAGCTTTTTGCATGATGCAGCAGGATGGCGAGCTACAAAAAGTCTTAGTAGAAGACACCTAAGGACAAAATATTCTTAACCGGATTAAGCACTTCAGGACTACATTTAGCTAAGTGCTTTTTGTCTTGTTATGAGCCAGAGCTAAATATAGTAACCAGAATACTTAAGAATAGTTTCATAAGGGTTGTATACACTCCTCAGCCAGATAAGGCACTTAGCACTACTGACAGCAGTATGTCTGCATGTTAAGAGTATTTTAAATAGCTCCAGATAGAATCTCTTTGACCTTAACTGTATTAACCAGAGGGATCAAAATTTATTTATTGCTCCTGAAAATCCTCTCCTGCAACACTTGGAGAGAAGGATTCCTGAACTCTATGGGCAGGTAAAGAGAGAGGACACTTGTCAGTCCTGTTTGCATCATTTTTAACCCCCACCTACAATAGGTGAGGATCAGCTTTCTCACAAAGAAATGCACATCCATCATTGCTTACAGCCCTCGGTAGAGTGAAAAGATTTTTTCTTCCCTTGTACAGGGAGTCTCAGAAAACACTCAGAGCATTTTAAGGGCAAGTTATATTTTAGACTTTTCAAATATCACAGTATTTAAAGTTGTTTCCAGGGTTACAGAGAGGGTAATGTAGTATGACAGCCTTAACAAGACAAATGGACTTCTCAGACACACAGCTAATAGTTAAAGCACTACTCCCTGCTATCTGTAATATTCTGGCACATTTTTTACCGAAGAGAAAATGGGAGAGAGAATTTTTTTTAAAAATTCTTTGTTTTGCAGAACTGCCTGACTTCAGGAGCTATCTAAAACGGCAAACTTTTGACTAAAGAAAATGTTTATTGGCTTGCTGCAAAATATTAACATTACCTTAGGATAACTCTTAATGGAACATCACATTAGTAAGAATTATCCCCTGAAACCAACAGTTCCTATGAATGCTTCATTATAGCTTTAATTTTAATTATTTGGTTATGTCACTGATGGCAGGGCAGAGATCACTCTATGAATGTAATGCTGCACATGTCTTTGTGATCAGCAACAAACAAAGC